GCTTTCATACTTCACATATGTAATCCTTGTGACAAGACCTTCCTTTGAATACCAATGACTTTGACCTTTTGACCTTGACCTAGGAGTTTGACCTACTTTTGAAAAACTTTAACCTTGGCCATAACTTTTGAACGGTTGATGCTAGGGCTTTCATACTTCACATATGTAATCCTTGTGACAAGACCTTCCTTTGGATACCAACCACTTTGACCCTTTGACCTTGACCTAGGAGTTTGACCTACTTTTGAAAAACTTTAACCTTGGCCATAACTTTTGAATGGTTGGTGCTAGGGCTTTCATACTTCACATATGTAATCCTTGTGACAAGATCTTCCTTTGGATACCAACCACTTTGACCTTAACCTTGACGTTTGACTTTTATTTAAAAAACTTTAACCTTCACCATAACTTTTGAACAGTTGTATCTAGGTCTTTCAAATTTCACAGGTGTTTTCCTCGAGACAAGATCTTTCTTTGGGTATCAACATTTTTTTATCTTTTGGCATGGATTTTGACTTGCATTTGAGAAACTTTAACCTTCGACATAAGCTGCCATACGGGGGCATAGTGTTTCACAAATGCATGTTGTTGTTTTATGTAATGGATATGTAGGGAAATTGAATTAAAATGTCTTTTTTATTGTTTGACAGGTATGACTCCAGAGTGAAAGCTATGGAAGTGGACGAGAGGCCCACAGAACAGTATTCTGATATTGGTGGGCTTGACAAACAGATTCAAGAGGTAGGCCTGATTTCTACAACACATTATGATTAGTCAAGAGGATAAGTTAGTGTAGAAGTGTTGACATTTTCATTGATAAATTCTATTACTTTTTAGCTCATTGAAGCAGTAGTGTTACCCATGACACACAAAGAAAGATTTGAAACTCTTGGAATTCAACCACCAAAAGGCAAGAAAGGGTCCAATGAGAAAAATTATTTGTTTGCACTTTAACATTTAACAATCATCAAAAATTTTTAATTCTGACAGACATACAAATGAACATGCATTCAGATCAGATTGTTGTAATACCATATGATTGTTATGCTCAGGTGTGTTACTGTATGGTGCCCCAGGAACAGGTAAGACACTTCTAGCTCGTGCATGTGCAGCACAAACCAAGTCAACGTTTCTCAAATTGGCCGGACCTCAGCTGGTGCAGATGTTTATTGGAGATGGAGCTAAGCTTGTCAGAGATGCATTTGCCCTTGCAAAAGAAAAACAGCCAGCAATCATATTTATTGATGAGTTGGATGCAATAGGTATTCAATTTTTTCAAGTGGTGCTTTTTTGTTTAACAAATTGAGGCATTGGCTGTGAATTAGTATTTTCTTAATTCCATGATTGTTGATAGGAACAAAAAGATTTGATTCAGAGAAGGCTGGTGACAGAGAAGTTCAAAGAACTATGTTGGAATTACTCAACCAGATGGATGGTTTCATGCCTAATGCACAGATTAAGGTACATTTTAATTTACATATACATGTATGTAAAAATGAACAAAGTGGGTAAATGTAAGAGTGATGTAAAATGAAGTTTATGTATAAATGAATTGAAAATGCAAAATCATGAGTATGTTTTAGGTCACCGAAGCTGAAAGCTTGAGCTTTTTTGATTACTTTTTGTCTTGCGTCCGTCTGTTCATCTGTCTATAAACTTTAAATTTTCAAGAACTACTGAACCAATTTTAACCACACTTGCCACAAAGCATCCTGGGATAAAGGGGATTCAATTTTATTTAAATGAAGAACCACATCCTCTTTTAAGGGGAGATAATTAAGAATTGGCGAACATGGCGACATCTGTTAAAAATCTTCTTTTCAAGAACCACTAGGTCAGAAAAGATGAAATTTATATGAAAGCTCAAGCTTTCTGGCAGAGTGTAGATTCACATTTGTTCAAATCATGGCCCTCTCAGATAGGTTAGGACCACAATAGGGGATCAAAGTTTCATATGGTAATATATAGGAAAATTCTTTAACAATCTTCTTTTAAGGAATAGCAGAGCCATGATTAGTCATATTCATATGGAAACATCCTCAGGCAGTGTAGATTTAAGTTTGTTAAAATCATGGCCTGGCAGAGTGGGGCCACAGTAAGAGATCAAAGTTTTACAAGGTAATATATATGAATAAACTTTAAAAATTTTCTTCAGAATAACAGCAGGGCTATGATAAGTCAAATTTATAATCATATGGAAGTATCCTTAGACCTTAGGTAGACCGTAGTGTAGTTGCAACTTGTTTAATCGGGCCTGTGGAGGAAGAGGGGGGCCTGAATAGGGGATCAAAGTTTTACATGGTAAAATATAGAAAAATTCTTTAAGAGTCTTCCTCTGAAAAACAGAAGCCAAGTTAAGTCAAATTCATATGGAAGCATTCACAGATAGTGTTGTATCAAGTCTGTTCAAATAATGACCCCCGTAGAGTGGGGCCACAATAGGAGATCAAGGTTTAACATGGTAATATATAGGGAAAATCTTTGAAAATCTTCTAAAGAAGAGTATCAGGGCCATGATTATTTATGATATGGAAGCATCCAAAGGTATTGTAAATTAAAGTTTGATTAAATCATGGGAAGGGTGTGGCCAGAATAGGAGGTCAAAGTTTTACATGGTATTATATAGGAAAAAAAATCTTTAATAATCTTTTGAAGTACCAGTACTGCAGAGTCATGATTAATGTGCAAGAATTCTCGGGAGGTGTAGATTCAAGGTTGTTTAGATAGGGCCCCCAGGGTTAGGGTGGGGCTAAAGTAGGGGATCAGAGATTTACAAGGAAAACATGTATGTAGAAAAACAAGTTGCAAGTTTAGGTTTTAAACATCTTCTGCTGAAGAACATTAGAGCCAAAGTTACTCAGGTAAGGTTGTGGCCCATGGGCCTCTAGATTTCCATTTTTTACAAAGGGAAAGCTCATTAGACAAACGAAAATAGAAAAAAGTATTCTGATTATTATTACAGGTGATAGCTGCCACAAACAGAGTGGACATTCTGGATCCTGCTCTACTAAGGTCAGGAAGATTAGACAGAAAAATAGAATTCCCACACCCCAATGAAGAAGCCAGGGCCAGAATTCTACAGATCCACTCCAGGAAAATGAATGTTAGGTAGGGAGCAATTCATTTTTCTGAACATTTGTTTTGTCACAAAACTTAGATATCGGTATTTTTCCAAAATAAAAAAAAATTAATTAAATATGGAATTATTTCATAATATTGTATGATAGTTTTAGTTTGCAAGAATAATTTTCATGAAGCAGATTCATAACTTTAAGAAGTTCAAAATTTATCAGTCAAAATTTCTTCAAAATTAATTGTATCCATTGATTTTTTTCCTGTAGCAAAGAAGTAAATTTTGAAGAATTGGCAAGATGTACAGATGATTTCAATGGTGCCCAGCTCAAGGCAGTATGTGTGGAAGCGGTGAGTAAACATTTATAAATATACTTGTACAAATGAATAACATCCATTTACACTCATTATATCAGTGTACATATACATGTAAACCATGAAAAGTGGACTCAGAATAGAAGTATGTTTTCTTCAAGTTCATTTGATGCATAGCTTTTTGCCTGAATTTTATGATGCAAGAACCCATGAGAAAGATTAAATTGCACTGTTGTTTTATATTGCAGGGTATGATTGCATTAAGGAGAGAAGCCACAGAATTGGACCATGAAGATTACATGGATGCCATTATTGAAGTACAAGCCAAGAAAAAAGCAAACCTTATGTATTATGCTTGAAGACAGTGAATTTCACAGTGTTAAGACTTCATTTTCATCTTTGAGATCTGGGTTTTGTGGAATCAAAAACAACTGATGCTGAATGTCATTTTGTGAATGAAACATTCAAACCTATTTCATTTACAAGTAATGCCAATTTATAAGAATAAATTGTTATTAAATTCAAAACTTAACTTTACTTATGAAAGAATGCTGTGTCCATTTGCATAATATATTATTGTTGTAATATTATTCTACTAATGGTAAGGTTGAATGCCTTGGAGATTAGGTGCGATGAAATGCAACTCATCTTTAATGAAGAAATATTTTCCAATTAGTCAACATATCAATATTAACCCTCCAAAGTCAAGACATACATGTACAAGTATGCTTGATATTGTATACCATATCTGAGGTATCATGGAATATTACTGTAATTTAACTTAATGAATCTTTTGATCTTAGTCTCACTTTTCCACTATATATTCCTTTTGTAAAAGCGAGAATTAGATCAAAAGTGAGTTCATCTATGTTTTATGGCCCCGGAGCCAGGAGGATACCAGAACTTAGTACTAGTATGCTGTAAAGTAAAGATTCTGGCTAATATTATCTCAGCGCTTGTCTTCTTCCAAAATGTTTTTTTTTAATCAACAGTAGATGATGCATAAAGACTTGTTTTGTTATGCTCCGAAATTTTGATAGTCGCTGTACAGGGACTATCGGAATTTCCGAGTGTAACAAAAATCTGATTTTAATGAGATTGTTTTAATTTTTAAGATAATATATCAAAAAGGCACTATTGAAAATTGAAAAGCCGCGTTTTAAAGAAAGGACTTCAGAACTTAAGGAATTCAGCCCCTCGTTCCTAAAATCTACGAAACTTATATTTACTGGGAGTCCAAAAGTAGCAAATATTGTAGTTGTGTATTCAATTTTGATGTACTCAAATCAGTGCAAATGCTAGGAGAATAATCTTCCATGTAAAATTTTGATATAAAATCATATTTAGCTGTATAGCATATAAAGCCAAGGATTGTGGCAAAAAATGAACTCCGCTTTAAATATATGTAAACATACAATTTATGAAAAGTTTGAGATGAAGTAACTTTAGCTTAGTAGTATAAAGAAAGGAAATACTAGTAAATAAATTCTGATTTATAGTTTGTAATTCGCTTGCACTGTAACTTTGATAACAGTAATTAATCGTCGGTGAAATAGCTAAGTTAATTTGCCAACACTGACGTTTTAGCCAACAATAAAAGATCAAAAGGTACCTGAAATCTAAATCTATTTATTCATCACAAATGCATTGGCATGCATGTAAAAAACAAAAACAAAAAATAGAGATAAGTAACATACGAAAATGTCATATTATAACATTGTCAAACGTACACTGTCGAAGTACCAAGTAAAGCATAGAAACACAACAATGTCATGACACACAATGAATACCTGAGGTACTTTATATTACTCATATTAAAGTAAAAAATCCTGCAAAATTACGCTAAACTACTTTAAAAAATGTTTCAGTTTTAAACGAATTTGCATTTATCCTGCATGAAACAGAGGCTGCTTCCACAATCATTTAAAGTACGTTGATCATAAGCTTAATTTAGGAGAGCTAGCATTTGAACATGAGCCGTGCCGACTCGTGCAAACTAGATAATACCTCATTTGAAATAGAATACCTCACGCAAGAACATAATTTTTTTCAAGATGAGAGAAAAAAAAATATATTGCATTTCTCGTAATTATACAACCATACAAAAGGGTTCATGAGAACATTTTCGAATAACTCGTGTTATATTTTATTTACACAACTTAAATGATAAAATCATCCAATATACCAAATCTGAATTGCATTTAGCTTTAGCTCGTTAACAAAAGTAAATTCAATACAGAGCACAAAATTAGATGTACATAAAAATTTAAAGCAAAAGCTGAAAGTAAGCATGGTAAATGTGTGAGATTCTAAAGAAAATGCCCAATTGTCATCCATCCTGCCATGCAAATTGGAATTAAACAAAAATTAAACACCTTGACTCTCTGTAAAACACAAGAATTTGAATAAAATTTGATCACAAAAATATGCAATGTAAAAATATCACATAATGTAAACACTAATAATATATCAAATTGCCAAAACTAAGTATACCGGTATTTGAGCTACTTAAATCACCATTTGGACTATGCAGAAGCGACAAAATGAAAATCATAGTGCATTATGGTTCATGGACCCTCTGATAAGAAAGATAACTCTAACCGGAATTAAAATTTCTTTTGAAAAATCATAAGGAACTGTCCAAACATGGCCATTTTTCATATGAATGAACAGACGGAAGAGGAACCTTAAGTTCTCGGAACAATGTCCAGTGCATTTAATGATCAAAGGGGGCCTGACACACGAACAGTAGCACCAAATATTTAAAAACTTTAAAGGCAAGACGCTGTTAGTCCTCCGGAACGGTAACTTCTACAGAGAAATCACTGTCCCTCTTTGTTTGGTTTTGGAGTCTCTCGGACAGGGGAATAAATAACATGAGGAGTCCTCCCACTATGATGACGACCGCAGAAAAATAAAAAGCGGTAGCTGGTGAATCCGTTGCTTCTCCAATCCAGCCTGTCAAAATAAAAAAAGATGCATGTTTAAATTTTGGGGAAGTTCGAGTAAAGTCTAGGGAAAAATAGAAATATGTTAATTACAGGACATTACTCCCCGCCCAAGGTTCATTAGTTATGCAACATGCAAACAGTTTTATACACAATAAGTGGTGAAGTCAAAAGTCATTGGGAAGGTCAAGGTTAAAAAAATCGGATGACAAATTCTCACCAAATTATGTATCAGTGCATAAACGAACATAAAAATATCTTGAAGATTTTTTTTTTTTTGAAACTAAGCTAAATGCAAATTTAAGAAAAGTGAGGTCAATGTCAAAGGAAGGTCAAGGTCAGAAATGTTGAAGTTTAATAAAAATATACCGTGAATCGTGAATAGTTCTTTGAAACTGGGCTAAGCGCAAAGTGTGACGGAAAGACAGAAATAAGGACGGAACACGGACATGGCATACTATATTACCCGACCATATTCATGGCGGGGCATAAAAATTCAGCAAATTACACGAGGAAATCTATATCGACTCTTATTGTGAGCAATTAAATACCGGTATTTACTGTCGTCGCAAACTGACATTATGGTAAACTAACTATAATATTTGAGTAATGGAAGCTGAAGAATATAAATTTAGAGCGTAATATAACCCAACTTATAGTTTTCTATTTCAGATTAACTTTAGGAGGCTGGGGGGGGGGGGGGTCAACAAATTAACCATCAGATATAACTTAATTTTCTAGATATGATATGTCAACTATCATTTGGCAAACAAAAATTTCATACATTTTAGTTTTAAAATTTGATCATTTTTATATATCTTTATATGGAGCTCTTCTTCTAAAGGAGATCAATATGGTCTGAAAATGGCTACAACCACCCAGCCCTCTTAATTCTGCTTTTCCGATACTTGGTGCTAGACTATTCTAAATAGTGACACGGAATATATTATTATGCGGTGACAGTAAACTGGTACATTTCAGGTGCCTCTGTACCTAGGGAAGAACAGAATTTAACATACCTCCTATTGGAGGACCAGCGACACAACCAATGCCATTGGCCAACATCAGGAATCCCATGGCGTCTCCCAAATACTGAATCCCCACTAAATCCGCCGTTACAACGACAAGCAGTCCTAATAATAAACCAAACATGGTTCCCCATATTATTCCAACAATCCCTAATCCAAACATGGTGTGGGTGATTTCTAATGGAATGAATAGTCCTACAATTCCTACTGCTAAATTCACGGAAATGAACAGGTATAATCTATTTATCTTTGGTATATTTCCGATGAGACCTCCTAAAACACACCCGACGAAAGATCCGCCACTGAAGATTGAAATTAGAGTAGCTGCCTCTGTCTGAGAAAAGTTGACGGAAGTGAAATACTCCGGGCCTAAAATAAGAGGTATAACTGTCCCAAAATTCCAAAGAATGTTGTTGACAACAAATATACAAAATGGTACATTGCGACACAATGTCAGTAGAACTAATAAAATTGAGTTCGATTTCACATTTTCGTTGGAAGATTCGTTGGTGAGAAGATTTTCATTTTCTAAGTCGTTTGTCCCTGTACCATTAGATTCCCGTTTTTCCTTTGCACCGTTTATCTCGTGCGCTATAGGTTTTTGCGACTGCGGAGATGAATCGGAAGTGCTTTCCTCTGTTAGAAGAATTTCCCTTTCAATCTGACTAGAATCGTTTCTTTTAATCTCCTTCAGTTTTATCATTTTTTCTTTCGCCTTTTGCTGTCGTTGCAATGGCGAATCTCGAAGAAGAGCAGCGAAAATGAAGGTGTTTAAGTTGATTCCAGCCACTATAAGTAACGATCCTCTCCACCCAAACTCGTCAATGAGGAACTGGACAAGGTTTGGGAACACGATCCCTCCAAATCCCGACCCTGCTGTCGCTACCCCTGTCGCCAGGCTTCTGTGTTTGTCATAGTACAGACCAGACATTGTGTGAGAGGGGACGTACAGTAAACAGTAACCAATACCTGTAATAAAATTATATCTGGATAGCTGAATGCAGAAAAATCAAACCCTTAATTTCATCTCCTTACAATAAGGAGCATTTGGAGCCAATAATTCAGTCATTTTAAACTAGTGAGCCCATTAACTTTAACATTAACAAATAATTAATAATAACACATTTATTTTAATTCAACTTTAATTATCGACAATCATAAAATCATTCCGACAGGCACATCTCATTTCTATATACAGTATAGTTGAAAACATAATTATCTTACGTCCTGATTCTACTTGAAGAATTCATTCACATATATACGCTATTTTCTTCTGCGTGTTATTTACATTGTCAACCATTAATATTTACCTTTAACATTTCAGATTAAATCTCACCTGTCAATATTCCGTAGAAAAAGAGGAGAAAAATCATATTCATTGTAAATGGTAGGGCAATAAGACCTGTGCTGCTCAGGAGGGCTCCCAATAGACAGACTTTACGGTATGACATCATCCTCATCATAATACTGGCCAGAGGACCTACAGTAGAGAAGATTTTTTTTAAACAACTTTTTTGTTTTGTTTTTCGAATAAAATACGAAATTGGTTGGCTTTTCAAGATGTCTGATATGGTCATATACTAGTGTTTGGTAGACGATGTATAATTCAAACTTGGAAAAGATTTTTGTTCTAGTTTAATTCGCTCGCATATGCTATGGCGCTTCTCTTTGGAGCAATTTTAATCAAATTTGGTACACTGTACAAAATATTTTTTGGCGATAAGAATTAAACTAGTTCACAATCTTTCTCATGGGCTAATAATTATGAACTAATGAACAAGTCATTAAACATTCTTGTTCTGAAGCACCCTCGGCAAAAAAATATAAAACGTATGTCAAAGCTTTTTAGATTCAAGTTTATTCGAGTCTCGGGTGCTAGGTTAGGGCCACTATAATTCTATATCAGAATTCTATATCAGAAAAAAAACAACAAAAAACACAGCTACAACTTATAAAACTTAAAAACAAGCCTAACTGAAAGTGTTAATTAAAATTGTTGAAATCATGGAATTAAATTTAATTGACGGTCACATTAAGGGATGTCATTTATCAACATATTTGTTTATGAAGAGAAAGGTGACACAGGTGAGCATTGTGGACCATGGACGTCTTGTATGGAAAGTAGAACGATGCATAGCTTAAAAAAGTTATAGTATCTAAATATAAGTAATTAACTATGTTCAAAACGTATAATAATTAATCCAAATACCTGCACCCAGAAAAAGTCCTATGTTGATGGAACCAATGAGTGATATAAAAGGCAATCCAACATCAAAATGACGGAGAAGTTCCACAATGTAGACTCCAAAGGAAGTAGCCACGCCAAAGGAGATAAACTGTATCCAGAAAGCCGAGGCTATTATCATCAACCCCCATGGATTGTCCACTTTTCGACATGCCATCTTCCTCGAAACACACCGGTCTGGATGCTAGACTACACAAGAGGAAAATAAACTTCACAATTCATCATATTTATAAACCAAACAACATAAAAAAAAAAACAACCCACTCTCTTTTAGGATTGAACGGATGATGGAGGAAGTCCCGTCCTTGTTTTTTTCGTTTAACATCCAACGATCCGGAAATGAGGTGAGATTACGAACAGCAAATTCACATGAATAAAAAATAGTGATTAGTACTTAATTGAAGTTAAGTAAGTGCAGATTGATTAATGCTGAATTTCAGGAATCCGGGGATTTTCACGATTAAGAATGACCTTACACTGTTGTTGACTTAAGTGACCCATAAAGATCAAATGGTCAAGTGATATCATTAAACCAGTGGACCAAAGGTAGACTTGTCTGCATGTAAAGTATGGTCTATAATTGAACAATTTTCATGAAATGTCGATAATTAAGCTTCTTGGTTGTTACATTTCGCGTGCTTATCAGGTTGATATGCATTAATTACTTTCTGAAATTTGTACAAATCTTCATGAATTAAATATAAAGACGATCATCTGCAACTACCAGAAGTCTCTAATGAGGATGTAGCTCTACTGACTGGAACATACCGAAGTGTGAGAGAAAAGTTGAATTTGCACTTTTAACATTTTTTTTTAAAAAAGCATAATTAGATTTACATAATTATAAATCTAATGTTTTCTTCTGTTTCATCGAAATCAAACTACAGTTGCATGAGGGATAACATTTTGAAAGGGTTTAGGACATTATTCTACATTTGGAACGGTGGCAACACCATTCATCAGAATCTGAAAACCACTATTGTATTCTAGTTGCATGTCAGCTTTTATTGACATCAAACCAAAACGGAAGGGGGAGTAGCGTTTTAAAAATTGATTACAGAAAGACAGTCAGTCACTTTTCCGAGCTCTTCTGGTCTATAACCAATAGTACACAGAGTTAAAAAAAAAACAAAACGAAATGCTCTCCTAGAGCTAAATTTTCCTTACATTTATAGCCTATTTGTATATTAGGCTTATATAAGTACATGTATACATCTTTAACTTACATCAGATTTCATCCTTCATTTTTCTGCCGGATAAATCAATCTTATTGAACTCGTTTTCTTTTTTTTTCTTTTCGCCAAACTTTGTTGTTTTTTCTTAATTGAAAGAAGACAATGCTCCATGCACGGCAAATATATTAAATCTATATCTTAAAAATATATTCAATATGACCCTTCATTTCTCAGCCATTTCATTTCAATAGAAAAAAAGATATCAGAGATGAGATAGGACTGCAAAATACTCTGTATATAAGCCATACATCCCAATGACCTTTCAACTATAAAGTGTCTACTCTTAGTCATACAAGATACCAGTGAACCCATAATAATATATAGGACATTTTCCAGGTTTATGGGACAAAAAAATCCTAGGTATTTTGAATATTACACCCAAGAGCGAGACTGTATGTTTACACTTAACACTTTATATAACCCATGAAATTCTTTCCTTATAATTTAATTTTCTTTTGACGTAGGCAGGCTATGGCGCATTACAATTCAATTCACTTTATTGACAATTACAATGTCGACATACTTAAGAAATGAATTTAATTTTTGAAGATTCATGAGGACATGAACTACGACGCTTCACGCTGGCATATTTCATGAAGCGCGTTAGCGCTTCATGATAAATATGCCGGCGTGAAGTGTTGTAGTTCATGTACCTCATGAATTTTCAAAAATTAAATTCATTTCTTATATTTACATTATTTTTTTGAAGAGATGCCACAAATTACGCAATTCAATTTTCATTTTTAAAGCAAAACAGTTTGCACTATAGTTTTGACGTCAAGTAGGGTATTATGACGTAACAATTGAGATATTCATGCTCACTCATGGTAGTTCATGAGAAAATGAACAGTATTCTAATTTACAAAGAATCTTAAGGAAAAATATTTGGAAATGTAAATATACAGTCGTGAACATTAATAACATAAAAATTAACACGATTAATACATGCATATACAAAATGACAAATGTGAGGTAAACAAAATACTGTAGAGTATATTCACATATTTCTAAGTATTCATTGCTGACTTTCTTTTCTGGTGTCAAAGCACTTTTTCAAGAAGCAACATATCCTTCCAGCAGTTGTTATATTTGTAGGATTGACAATTTTTCTAATGGGATTATCACTAGTATATACGTTTACAAATATATCAGTATACTTGCATCTATATTGGTCATACTTTGAACAGTATAGAACAAAACGTTTTTCATCTTCAATAAACAATTTACATGAATAGCACAGTTGTTTTTCTCCAGGAATAAGGGGTTTACAGTATCTACCCGTTTCAATATACAATGGATGGGCACTGCAACAAGGATTTTAAAAAAAAGTATTATATAATGTTACATGGGAGATAATTGGGTTATATAAAATTTAGGATAATCTTTCCCAAAACTGTATATTTAGACAGATGGGTATCTGTGATATGATTGATTTCTTATCTGATAATCTGTTAGTGTGTCGGCGTCTTTTCACCGGAAATGACTGTGTAACCTGACCAAATCTAACATCTGGTCTGAAAAAACTGGAAAAGGGCTGAAAGGTAGGATTAGCTCGAAAGTATATATGTTGATAACGCTATAATAACAATGATGTCTTCAGCTGGCAGTTAAAACCTATCCAGTATTATGATTTTAGCATCGTGTTAAAAAGTCTGCGCTTTAGATATGAAATAGACCTATTCAGCTGTTCAATCATGCACTCTCACCAAACCCAGCCCCCTTCTAACTACCCTGTTCATTAGAGTTTAATGGTTGTTTGTTAAATGTCTCTTCGAGAATTTTTCACTCATATTGAGACGCCACCACTTGCCCGTGAAGGGCTGCAAATTTAGACCTGTACTCGGCACTTACGGCCTTTAAGCAGCGAGGGATCTTTTTCGTGCCAGCACCTCCTGCGACACGAGACCTCAGTTTATACGGTCTCTTCCGAAGGACCGGTCTCCATGTCCCACAGTGGATTCGAATCCGTGACGTAAGGATCAACTCCTTACGCCGCGACTCTGGAGCAAAAGGTCAAACCACTGCGCCAGACGGGCGATGAGTTTGAAAGGGGGGGGGGGGCTGTGGTAGTTGTTGCACACAATCAGATATGAGTTTCAAATACATTTTGCGAAATGAAACCATTAGAAATGATATAATCGCACTCTACTTAGGAAATATTTTTGGTCCGTGTTAAATCATTTACCATCTCTAGTACAAGTTCAGTTTATTCACCCAAACCAAAATACTGGTACATAAGAAACAGAAATAATAACATTTTTATACAAACTGGTCAGAGGCACATATGCAACACAAAAACATGACCAAAAAATGTATAGAAATAAGAAAAAGGGAAAAAAGTCAAGAAGGGCAGACAGCCTCATAAATTTTTAGGATAAACATAAATCCTAGAGGTTTAGTTTTCTCATGATTTTTTTCGTTTTGATTTGTCATTACTGGTAGTTCCATAAATTCTAAAACATTTATGAGAACAATAGTTACCCAAATAAACTTATTTTGTAAACTAAAGCTTTACATTCTAATATAAATTGCACAATGAAATTCATCGACAATTTAGAGCATTATTATAACAAAGTGTACAAAGTCCTTCATCGATTTACATACCATGTCCTCTGCCAGTTTCTACTGGTAGACGATGATTTGAAGTACGAAATTTCAAAAGTTGTATAAGTAATTGTATAGTGTTGCTCGCCTTACTTCTACTCGATACATTTATTCCCTTGTAATTAAAAAATTCCGTGCAGGCCAAAATTAATAAACATTAGATAAAAATAAAGATCATAAAGATCAATTCTAGATCTATCTTGAAATATTTCAACTAAGGCGTGTAATTGTTCATCCCAAGAAATCCCGTCCGATTTAGCTTTTAGCTGAACTCAATACAAGTGCTATTAATTAACGCTAATCACCGATATTCCCCTAAGAGTGATTCGAGACAATTTATGGCAGAATCTTGTAGAGGTGGATCTAAAAAAAAAAAAAAATACTTTTACAAATATTTTACTCGGATGTCATTGATAATTATAGCATTTATTTCCTTTATATGCTCAATATTATTTTGCTACCACGCGTTCTTCTACCTTTTTGCATGTGGAATTTATTTAATTAAATTTTATTTAGAATTAATTAAATTTATTTTGAAATTTAGCGATTTCTTTTTTATTATAGCCTTAAAATATTTTTAAATCTAAGGAGAATCTATAGTGTACATTTAACTTACCCCTTGAGAAGAAGGTAAACATGGCCTATTTACACTCTTCCTTCTACGCATTCAAAGGCAATATTTCTCAATATTTGAAATTTTAATTCTTTTCCCCCAGACACTCTCCTTCCCATCTATGCCCAAAAATCAGCCCATTCCACCCCGTATACATCCGAAGACATATTTATGAAAAAACCAGTGTTTTTATCTGGCACTACTAAGGGGTAAAATTAGTAACCTGTGATACGCTTATACTTTCTAAAAAAAAAAAAGGATTACAAACTCAGACATGTATTTTAATTTCCTCTTTATTTTAATTTGTTTATCGTTTACTCGTTTATTTTCTATAATTATATCTTTCATTTTAAACTCGTTATTATTATTATTGAGCACGTAGGAAATTGAAATCACGCCCCCCCCCCCCCCTCCAATGAAAGGCCTTATATTGTTCTTTTAAAGCTTTAATTTTAAATCTGATAAAATGTTGGATCCTTCCCTCAGCAGTGCTGCCATCATTTGTCTCGCATCACTCTCATGGGTAATATAAAGATTAGTGTTAATTGCGATTTGATTGAATTCAGTCTAAAGCAATTAACACCGGAGAAAATCCACAGAATTTCTTCCCATGGAAACTCATTATGACAACCTTGCATTGGCGGATGGGGGGGGGGGGGTCCGGGGGTTATAACCCCCTTTATTTTTTGCCGAATGGACAGAGAGAGAGAGAGAGGATAACACATGTT